TCATACTGAAGGCTGTAGTCTTTGATCTTCATCAGTAAGTGCTTCAAGTCCTCTCCACTTTCAGCAAGCAAGATTGTGTCATCTGCATATCGCAGGTTAATAATGAGTCCTCCTCCAATCCTGATGCCCCATTCTTCTTCTTATAGTCCAGCTTCTCAGAAAACCATATGATGCTTCCTTAAAAAGCTAGAAGTAGAAATACCGTAGGATCCAGCAATCCCACTGCAAGGAATATATCCTGGAGAAATAAGAGCCGTCACACAAATAGACATACACATCCCCATGTTCAATGTAGCATTGTTCACAATAGCAAAAAATGGAAACAACCTAGATGCCCCTGAACAGATGAATAGATAAACTATGGTACACCCTGTGGAATACTACGCAACAATAAAGAACAATGATGAATCTGCAAAGCATGTCACAACATGGATGAATCTGGAGGGCATTATGCTGAGTGAAATAAGTCAATCACAAGGACAAATATTGTATGAGACCACTGGTATAAAAACTCATGAAAAAGAAATTATCTTTGATGGTTATGAGGGAGGGGAGAGATGGAGATGGAAAAACACTAAATGGACAATAGATAAGTGGTAACTTTGGTGAAGGGTAAGACAGCCACACAATACTGGGGAATCGAGTATGACTTGTCCAAGGCAAGGTCATGGAAGCTTCATAGACAGTTCCAGACTCCCTAAGGGACCTAATTATTGGGCTGAGGGCTGTGGGGACCATGGTGCCAGGGGACGTCTAGCTCAATTGGCCTAACGTAATTTATAAAGAAAGTATTCTACATTTTGCTTTGGTGAATAGCGTCTGGTGTCTTAAAAGCTTGTGAGTGGCCGTCTAAGATACTCCACTTGTCTTACCTCACCTGGAACAAGGGAAAATGAAGAATACCTAAGACAAGGGAAAGATTAGTCCAAAGGACTAATGGACCACAACCCCCACAGCCTCCATCAGACTGATTCCAGCACAACTAGATGGTACCCCACCGACTGCTCTGACAGGGATCACAGTGGAGGGTCCCAGACACAGCTGGACTAAAATGTAGTAGAAAATTCTAACTCACCACGAAAAAAAAAAAAAAAGACCAAACTTACTTGTCTGACAGACTGGAGAAACCCTGAAATTATGACCCCCAGACATCCTTTTAACTCAGTGATGAAGTCACTTCTTAGGTTCACCCTTCACCAAAGATTTGGCAGGTCCATAAAACAAAACGAGGCTAAATGGGCACACCAGCCCAGGGGCAAGGACGAGAAGGAAGGAGAGGACAGGAAAGCTGGTAATAGGGAACTCAAGGTTGAGAAGGGGAGAGTGGTGACATGTCATGTGGTTGGCAACCAATGTCATAAAATGATATGTGTACTAATTGTTTAATCAGAAGCTAGTTCTGTACACCTTCATATAAAGTACAATAAAGAAGAAGAAAAAGACTTCAGGGAATATTTTTGGTTTAAGTTTTAAAGATTATATCATGGCAGTAGTTTTGGGGGTTCATCCAGCCTCCATGGCTCCACAAAGACTGGATTCCATGAGAACTTGAATTCTGTTGTGTATTCCCCCCATTTTGATCAGGGGTCTTCTATAATATCTTTGGTCAAAATGTTCAGTAATGGTAGCTGGGCACCATCCAGTTCTTCTGGTCTCATGGCAAAGGGGACAGCTATTCATGGAGGTAATTAGCCACACATTCTATTTTCTCCCCCTGGTCCTAACTCTTCTCCTTCCTCTGTTACTTCAGGTGAATAGAGACCAATTGTTGTTCCTTGGATGGCCGGTTGCAAGCTTTTAAGACCCCAGGCACTATGCAACAAACTAGGAGATAGAACAGAAATGCTAAGCACGTTATTAGACCAATTAACTGGGACATGCCATGAGACCGTGACCCTAAACCTCCAAGGAGCCAAATATCATGAGATGTTTGGTTGTACCATAAGCAGCCTCAGCAGTTACTCTCCCTTTTTTTTTTTTTTTTTGTCATTGTTAATATAGCACACAACTTTTGGCAGTTTATCTTTTTACTAGTGTATAACATTGACAGCAATTACATTGACTGGCTGTGCAATCCTATCCTTAATTAATACAATTTTTCCATCAACATAAATAGAAACTCAATACTGCATAAGCAGTAACCTCCCTCTTTCCTTCTCCCTCCTGCCCCTGGTAACCACTAAGAAACTTCAGTCTTTATACATTTGTCTGTGTTTTTATATAAGTGGGGTCATAGGTCATACTACATTTGTTCTATTGTGATTGTCTTATTTCACTCAGCATAATGTCTTCAAGCTCCCTCCATATTGTAGCATGTATGGAGACTTCATTTCTCTTACTGGCCGAGTAGTATTCCATTGTATGTAGGTACAACATTTTATTTTTCTAGTTATCTGTTGATGGGCATTTAGGTTGTTTTCACTTTTTGGCTATTGTGAATAGTGCTGCAGTGAACATTGGTGTACAAGTATCTGTTTGAGTCTCTGCTTTCAGTTCTTTTGGGTATATACTTAGGAATGAAATTGCTGGGTCATAATGGTAGTTTTATTTTTAGTTTTTTGAAGAACTGCCACACGTTTTCTACAACAGCTGTACCATTTTGCATTCCTACCAGCAATGGATAAGGGTTCCAATATGACCTTTTTTTTTTTTTCAAAGAACAGCTATTTTATCTTCCTCTGAATTGTTAATTCTAAGAAGTCCTTTAAACATTGTAAATAAATTTTACAGGACATTTGTTTGAGTTCTGAAAGTAAGAATTTGTATCTTTTTTTTCTGATTTGTAAAGTCATAAAATCACTGTGATGTTTGATCTTAGGCTGTCTTTAATACTTCACGTATTGCTTTACATACTAATATATATTTATCTTATTTTCGTACAACAAAAAACATTCTTAAAATAACTTTGTTGTTGTTAGCTGCCACTGAATTGGCCTTCAACTTTTGTACCCCATGCTCAATGGGATTGGACTGTGGTGATCCATAGGATTTTCATTAGCTGATTTTTTGGAAGTAGATTACCAGGCCTTTCTTCATAGTCTTAGTTTAGAAGCTCTGCTGAAACCTGTTCAGCATCATAGCAATCTGAAAGCCTCCACGGACAGACAAGTGTTGGCTGCACTTCAGGTACATTGGCCAGAAATTGAACCCGTTTACTCCCACATGGAAGATGAGAATTCTACCACTGAACCAACAGAAGAACATATTACTAATATTAACATCCACCAAAAGACCCTTTGCCATCAAGTAGATTCTGACTCATAGCAGCCCTATAGGACAGAGTAGAACTGCCCCATAGGGTTTCCAACAAGGAACTGGTTGATTTGAACTGCTGACCTTTTGGTTAGCAGCCATAGCTCTTAACCACTGCGCCACCAGGGCCCCAATATTAGCATCAGTTGTCATCAAAATATATTTTAATTTAAAATTCTATGAAATACATTTTGCTATGGTTAGATTTCAATAGTTTGATTTTCTTAGCTCTCCTGGAAAAGAGGGCGTTCAGTATTCTCATTTACTAAACATGATACCTTATGCAGTATTGTAGCTAATTTTAAAATCCATATCAGATTTGGAAACCCTGGTGGCATGGTGGTTAAGAGCTATGGCTGCTAACTATAAAAGGTCAGCAGTTCAAATCCACCAGCCACTGCTTGGAAACCCTACGGGGCAGTTCTTTTTTTTAAATTATTTATCTTATTGTTGTATTTTAAGTGAAAGTTTGTAATTCAAGTTAGTCTCTCATACAAAAATTTATACACACATTGTTATGTGACCCTAATTGCTCTCCCTGTACTGTGACAGCACCCTCCTCCTTTCCATCCCTGATTTCCCATGTCCATTCATCCAGCTCCTGATCCTCTCTGCCTTCTCATCTCACCTCCAGCCAGGAGGTGCCCATTTAGTCTCATGTATCTACTTGAGCTAAGACACACACTCTTCACAAGTATCATTTTATGTCCCATAGTCTAGTCTAATCTTTGTCCGAAGAGTTGGCCTTGGGAATGGTTTTAGTCCTGTGTTGACAGAGTCCGGGGGCCATGCTTTCTGGAGTTCCTCCAGTCTCAGTCAGAGCATTAAGTCTGGTCTTTTTACTAGAATTTGAATTCTGCACCCCGCTTTTGTCGTGCTCTATCAGGGACTCTGTTGTGTTCCCTGTCAGGGCAGTCATGGTGGTAGCCAGGCACCATCTAGTTCTGGTCTCAGGCTGATGGAGTCTCTGGTTTATGTGGCCCTTTCTGTCTCTTGGGCTAATACTTCCTTTGGGGCAGTTCTACTCTCTCCTATAGGGTCGCTATGAGTTGGAATCAACTCAACGGCAACAGGTTACAGTTTATATCAGATTTAAAATTAAACCCATGAAAAAAGTTTTTAATTAAAAAACAGATTATTGAGATTTTAGCTAAATTATTTAAAAATCTGCCTCTCACTTTAGGGCATCTATTCTTTAGTTTGCATACTCTGACAATCTCTTGAATTTTTTTTTCAATAAAGTGACCGTTTAATTGCTAAGAACTCAAGAAAGTATGTGAAGAAACCTAGGAATTGTTTTAATTTTTTACATTGTTGGCGAACTCTACTTTTAGAACCAAATGGGTTATACAATAGATGGAAAATTTTTGGTTGGTATGGTAGTGTCTTTAACTGTGGCCTAAGAAAACAGATTAACAATTCTAAAAATTTAGTTTGTTTTATGTTTTAGCATGATACTAATTTAGCTTCGTTGTTAAATAATAAGTTTTTCCCCTAAGTAATCAGGTTAAGTATTGGTGGATTAAAAGATGTTAAATTATATGTAATTGGTTTTATGCACTATTTTTTGTTGCTTTTAAACATTATAGTATTTTTTTTTTTCCTCTCTTTCCTAATCTGACAAAGATTCCTACATTAAAAATTATGTTGGGACATTTCTAAAACAGTCAGGAATCAGGCAGTTTTCTCAGGACTTAGGAGATAAAATTGAATAATTGTTATTTGTTTATTTTTTTAATTTCCTACAGGTGAACTGGCACAGAGGTTGATCTCAACATGCCATTAGTAAAAAGAAACATCGATCCAAGGCACTTGTGCCACACGGCACTGCCTAGAGGTATTAAGAATGAACTGGAATGTGTAACCAATATTTCCTTGGCAAATATAATTAGACAACTAAGTAGCCTAAGTAAGTATTCGTATACTAATAAAAATATTACTCTCAAACTGGAATGTTATACCTTAAGAGTATTAAGAAGATGTTCTTGGAATTAATTTTTTGGGGGGGTGCAGTATTTGGTATGACAAACACAAAAGTATCCTGAAAATGTAGTCATTTTTAAGTAAAATCATGAGTTTTAGAATTATTTTTGAAATTAGCAGAAAGCATGGGATACTTGTTGTTAGTTACTGTTGAGTTGATTCCTACTTGTGGCAACCGGATGTGTGCAGAGTAGAACTGCTCCACAGGGTTTTCAAAGCTGTGACCTTTCAGAAGCACATCACCAGGCCTGTCTTCCGAATCGCCTCTGGGTGGGTTCTCACTGCCAGCCTTTAGGCTAGTAGTCAAGCGCTTAACTGTGCCACCCAGGGAAGTGACATACTTAAAGAAGTGAAATTCCAATGATCTCTTAATTTAAATACTTCTTCAAACCTTTCTTTTAACTCCTTGTAAACCCTGGTGCCGTAGTGGTTAAGAGCTATGGCTGCTAAACAAAAGGTCAGCAGTTTGAATCTACCAGGTGCTCCTTGGAAACCTTAGGGGGCAGTTCTACACTGTCCTATAGGGTCACTATGAGTTGGAATCAACTTGACAGCAACGGGTTTGTTTTTTGTTGTTGTTGTTGTTCTTAGGTGATAAGACTCCTTATATATGAAAATATTTTATTCATGTATTATGTAGTGTTTATGTAGGGATTTGTCAAAAGTAATAAATACAGGAGTTAGATCCATTTAAGTATAAATGTTTTGTTTGATGTATGTGTTAAAGAATACATGTAGTCATATAAATGTATGTGCATATATGGTACAGATTTGATATACACCCCATTCATGTGTTTTCAGTAGTATTTGAACACCCATTGTGTTGTACAGGAGCCCTGATGGCGCAGTGATTAAGCATTCGGCTGCTAACCAAAAGAACTGCAGCTTCAGTCCACCAGCTGTTCCTTGGAAACCCTATGGGACAGTTCTACTCTGTTTCCTGTGGGGTCGCTATGAGTCAGAATTGACTCGATGGCAGCAGGTTTGGCTCTTGTGTATATGTGTGTTGTTCAAAGCACTTTGAAACAATAAAAAAAAAATTGAAAATGTCAAGAAGATCCTGATCTTAGCATAGGACTGTTTCCGTTTCTGAATTTTATCACCTCTGTTTTACCTATTGTTGTGATACCAAAAACCCGTTGCCATCGAGTCGATTCTGACTCATAGCGACCCTATAGAATAGAGTAGAATTGCCCCATAGGGTTTCCAAGAAGCAGCTGGTGGATTCAAACTACTGACCTTTTGGTTAAAAGCAATATCTCTTAACCACTGCGCCACCAGGGCTGTTTTTATGATACAGATCTCAAATGCAGTATAACTACACAACTCTACTTGTTTCCTCTTAAGAATTTCTGGCTTATATGGACCTTTTTGCTACTAAAGCAGGGCCTTGCTCAACTTCTTTAAGGGATGCTTAAACAATTCTCCTTATCATCACATCTATTTGTTTTTTTTTTTTTTCCCATCCTAAGAGAAAGAGATAAATAGACAAACAGACATACAAATACCTGAAACATTGTTTTAATAGCACTTTGTAGAAAAGGTTATAGAACTTATTTTAAGAACAGGATTCGCCTTCAGTTCCCTGAGGAAAAAGATAATGAAGCCTTTAAAATGCTTATTGTTTCATTTAAGTACCTTCTGAGTGATCAGGAGATGAGAACATAAAATTCTGATACTGGTAACCCTGGAGGCCTAATAACTAGAAAAGTTCCATAACTTCTAAGCAGACTTTATTCTTCTTGAATTTACTCTCCAAACTTCGTTTCTTTTCTCTCTCTTGGCAACCTACCTCATTCTATTTAGTGCCCAGGACAACTGATTGAGGCAAAGAAGCTGATTCCCACTGGGTGTTTTCTTTGGGAAGGCTTACTATTTGCGAAATAGTGCTCCAAATATACTGAGAAATAGATTAAATCCCTAAAAATTAGTAGGCCTGTTTATCAAGATTTGAGGAGAAACACAGAACCTATATCATCAGTCACATCAATTAGTGAAACATTTTTTAAGGAGTACCTACCTGGGTGATGCATACAGTTAACGTGCTTGGCTGCTAATCAAAAGGCTGGTGATTCAAGTCTACCCAGAGCTACCTTGGAAGAAAGTCCTGGCTATCTATTTCTAAAAAAAACAGTTATTAAAAACCTTATGGAGCACAGTTCTACTCTGACACACATGGGTTCAGAATCAACTCAACAGCAACTAGTGGTTTTTGTAAAAAGTAGGCAAACATTTGTACCCTGAAGACTGATTTGTTTAAGGTTTGGCTTGCCCCAGCAGGTTTAACTAGTATTCTGAAGGGTAATTTCAGAGAGATTTTGTTAAAGATGGTGACCATTTCTAATCTTATTTCTTCTTGAGGCTTTGGAACAGAATGTCCTGTCCAAGTCTAACAGAATAAAGTGAGAATCAACTAGAATTTTATCAGCTTCCCAGAAATGTCAGAAGAATGAGTGTGGTCAGGTAGATGGCAGCAGCACAACTACCAGTGAGCAAATAGGTGTGTGGTGGCAACAGATGAAAAGGTGGAGTGGTATCTGGGCAGCAGTCTCAGGTCAACCTAAGTACCCTAAGTAGAGAAGAAAGCATTTTTTCAAGAACTTATTTGCAGAGAATTTCAAAGGGAAAGAAGGGCTCGAGGCAATTCAAGAATGGTGATGTTGTTTTAGGTTTTTTTTTTTAATACCAAACCAAAAATCAAACCCATTGCCATCAAGTCTATTCCGTCTTATAGTGACCCTATAGAACAGAGTAAAACTGCCCCATAGGGTTTCCAAGGAGCGGCTGGCTGATAGATTCAGACTGGTGACCTTTTGGTTAGCAGTTGAGCTCTTAATCACTGCACCACCAGGACTGTTACATGTATATATGTGTGTATATATATATATATATATATATATATATATATATACGGTCTTTGAAAATCTGAAGCAGGACAATATTTAACTGGTAAAAATATAGTAAAAGTAGATTCTCTTCTTCCCTTCAATCTATCCTACACTGTAAATAGATTTTTTGTTCTCAGGCCCAGATAGGATCACATCACTTCCATGTTTGAATGCTTCAAAAGGCTGTCCATTGCCTACCAAGTAAAATAAGGTCTCTGGGATTGAGCCACCATTTGCCATGCCAACTACCGTAGGTCTCCCTCTATTTGATTTTACACAGTATGTTGCAGCCAAACTGCTCATGGACTTCTGTGCATCTGTGCCTTTATATAGCTTCCTCTGCCTGGAATAGATTCTCTGTCATCTTTGTATGTTAAAATTTTACCATCTTTCAAGTTTCAGTGTCACTTAACAATTACTGTCTCTCTTCCCCTCCATCCAGATGTATTTTCTTTCTTCTCTGAGTTTACATAGCACTTTTATCCATACCTGTATTATGAAACCTCTTTATACCTTATATTTTATTTATTTGTATAAATAATATCTCCTTATTAAATTGTGTGTAACTTCATGGCAGAGACATTGATCAAGCTTGTATTTTTCAGAATACCTAGCACAAACTCTTGCACACTGAAGGTACTTATAAATATTTATTTACTGAATTAAGGAAGAAACAGTGAACCTGACATGTCTAATCAAACTTATTTTTCTTTTTTAAAACAAAATACTAATAATAAGTATGATTTAGAAAATAAAAATATATTCCACTATTAAGTGAAACTTGCAGTTAAGACTTGGAGAATGTTACTTTATAGAATGTTTAAGGAGTTCATCTTTTGCTGAGGGATATTTAATAGAAATATTTAGGGTGGCTATTTGGGGCAAAGCTTAGTAAAGTAGTCAAAAAATAAATAAATAAAAGTAGAATTAAGCAAATACCTCTTTCCTTGTGTGTTCCTTCTGGAAAAGGAAAATAAGGACATAATCTTTATGAACAGAATCACATGATAGATAACTATTGAGATTATTTTTAAAATATGGTTTCATATATGAAAGGTAGGACCACAAGAGTTGTACTTTTGCTTACTTGTTATAACTACTTACTCTTTTTAGAGGCTTCAGTTATTTTGTGTTTTGGGACAGACTTAATATTTATATATTTTAGTCTAGGGAAATATTTTTATGTTATCGAAGGTCTAAAGTGAGAGGTGTGGAGCGGTCACTAGTCGGGGAATTAAGTCGTCAAACAAGCTGTCTGAAGGACATAAGGGTATCAGCCAGGAGTCTAATATGCATCATGATTGAAAGCAGCAGGTGAACAGAACCTGGCCTTTGACAGACAGAAGGCAAGTGGGTTGGACAGAGATTAAAGACCAGTGGAAGGGGTGATTAGAGGAGAAGCTGACAAGCAGTATGTTCCTGTTATAAAATTATAACAGAGCTACTTAAAGAATTGAGTAAATTATTCCCCATTATTCCAAATTTAATCATTAAATTTTTTTTTTTTTATTCCAGTTCATCTTTTGAATTGAGGGGTTAGCTTTTTAATAAGACATCTATATCCATTTTAAGAATGGTTACTTTTTTCAGGTTAAGTATTGGTAGTAAATCAATAACAAAATATTACATTGTTTACTTGTGTACTTGTTTCCTCCTTGGGAAAGCCAATACAGAATTGTACTTTCACAAAGAGTCAAAAGAAGAGTCTTAAATTTCCTACGTATCGTATTAACCATATTGTTTGAAGACATTTTGCTGATTTTCTTTTTTGTGTATGTGTGTGTAGTCTAGCACTGATTGTATCTAATGTAACATAACTTCATGTAAAACTTACTAGAGTACATCAATAAAACATGTTAAAACAGAAATAACATTAATAACTTTGGAAACACTTCTTAAAATTAAAATGAATTTTGGATTTAATACAGACATCTGGTTTTAGGTATATTCCCAATATAGGATTTAGAATCAATATAATTGATTAAGGGTATTAATTTGCAGTATTAACCCATTTTTTTACATAAACTGAGATGAAAATTTAAGGAATTCTTAAGTCTGTTATAGTCCATATAAGCAACATCTGTCAGCAACATCTTGTAGCCAAATTGAAAATATAAATACATTGTAAAGTAACACTAAACTAGGTTACAGAGAGTTGAAATCTGAGCCATGTAGGCATTTTCTAAGCAATTTGTAGAGATTCAAAAGAAAAGAGAAGACCCACAAAAATATTGTAGCAAGGTGTTACAATAGTTTGTTGTTGCTGGGTACCATCAAGTCAATTCTGACTCATAGTCACCTATTGTGACAGAGTAGAACTGCTCCATAGGGTTTTCTTGGCTGTAATCTTTACAGAAGCAGATTACCAGGTCTTTTCTCCTATAGAACCAGTGGGTGGATTCTAACCACCGACGTTTCAGTTAGCAAGTGCTTCACTGTTTTGCCCCCAGGGCTCCTTAACAATAGTTTGTTGTTGTTGTGTGCCTTGGCGTAAATTCTGACTCATAGCAACCCTATATGACAGGGTAAGAACTCGTTTCCTAGGCTGTAATATTTTTATGGGAGTAGATTGCCAGGTCTTTTCACCCACCGAGTGGCTGGTGGGTTCAAACTGCCAACCTTTCGGTTAGCAGTGAAGCGCTTAACCGTTGCACCACCAAGGATCCTTAACAATAGTTTGCTTTGTTGTTAGGTGCTGTCAAGTCAGTTCCGACTCACAGTGACCCTGTGTACAACAGAACGAAACACTGCGCGGTTCTGCGCCATCCTCACAGTTGTTGTTATGCTTGAGCCCATTGTTACGGCCACTGTGTCAGTCCATCTCATTGAGGGTCTTCCTCTTTTTTGGTGACCCTCTACCAAGCATGATGCCCTTCTCCAAGGACTGGTCCCTCTTGATACCGTGTCCAAAGTACATGAGACAAAGTCTTAACATCCTTGCTTCTAAGGAGCATTCTGGCTGTACTTCTTCACAACTTGTTCGTTCTTCTCCCAGTCCATGGTTTATTCAGTATTCTTCATTAACACCATAATTCAGAGACATCAGTTCTTCTTCAGTTGTCCTTATTCGTTGTCCAGATCTTGCCTGCATATGAGGCGATTGAAAATATCACGGCTTGGGTCAGGCGCACCTTTGTCTTCAAAGTGACATCTTTGCTTTTCAACACTTAAAAGAGATCTTTTACAACAGATTTGCCCAATGCAAATAGATCATGTGATTTCTTAACTGCTGCTTCTGTGGACATTGATTGTGGATCCAAGTAAAATGAAATCCTTGGCAACTTCAGTCTTTTCTCCATTTATCATGATGATGCTTACTGGTCCAGTTGTGAGGATTTTTGTTTTCTTTATGTTGAGGTGGAATCTATACTGAAGGCTGTAGTCTTTGATCTACCTCAGTAAGTGCTTCAAGTCCTCTTTGCTTTCAGCAAGCATGGTTGTATCATCTGCATATTGCAGGTTGTTAATGTGTGTGCCACCCATCCTGATTCCGCGTTCTTTATATAGTCCAACTTCTCGGATTATTTGCTTAGCATACATATTGAATAAGCACAGTGAAAGGATACAACCCTGACGTACACCTTTCCCAGTTTTTAAACCACACAGTATCCCCTTGTTCTGTTCGAACAACTGCCTCTTGGTTTATGTACATGTTCCTCATGAGCACAATTAAGTGCTCTGGAATTCCCATTCTTCACAATGTTATCCATAATTTGTTGTGATCCACACAGTTGAATGTCTTTGTATAGTCAATAAAACACAGGCAAACATCTTTCTGGTATTCTCTGCTTTCAGCCAAGATCCATCTGACATCAGCAATGATATCCCTCGTTCCACGTCATCTTCTGAATCTGGCTTGAATTTCTGGTAGTTCCCTGTTGATGTGGAGCAATAGTTTACCTCCTTGGAATTAAGCTCTCTGGCATCTTTCCCACTTGACATCGTTAGAACCTGGAATTAAATGTAAAAGGCCTCCAGACAGCCAGAATAACTAAGTCCATGCACTAAAGATCATGCACAAAAAATTATCAATTGTTACCTCTCTCAGAGGTGGTTTACTTTTACTTTGATAGTTCAAATAGGTTTGATTATGTTGTTTCCAAACATTTATGTTTCAGAGAGCTAAAGAGAGGGTAGAGGGGGAGATAATAGATGCAGGCATACACGGAAGGCAGCCAGAAGAGGTAGTTTATAGCAAAGGTAGAAATGATATAAGGCAAGAAGAACATAAAAACTAGAGAATGGCCATTTGATGTAAAAGCTAATATTCTTAAACATTTCAGGGCTGTTTTCTATCTTGGGATAATAATTGATTTTCATAATAACTGCGAGTTCTTAAGAAAAGATTAAATTATGTTTCACTTTGTATTCCACTTAAGAAGACAGGGAAGTTTACAATGCATTTTACAACAGTTTCCATTCAGAATGTTTAAAATAATAACTGATACATTAAATAATCTCTGAATTACATAGGAAACTTGGCTATTCAAATGGTTCTAAATAATTGAGGTTTTCGGTTTGGTACTATTAATAACACTAAAACTGCTAGAGAACATAGCAGTGAAGGTACACTGCAGAGCTCAGCCTGGCTTGTGGTTGAACATCTTCCTAACCTCTTCACAAAAATGTACATCCAGTTTTTTATGAGATTTCTCCCGGTTGAACACAATTCTGTTTTGTAACAGATAATCACTGAAAACCTGGAATTCACTTTATATCCTATTCTGCTATACTGAAATTTTTTCCCATTTCATCATTGTCTTTCTCAACAACCATTGGAGGTCTGATTACCTGAGGGATGTTTCGCCATTCTCTTCCCAAGGTCTTCGTCTTGTTAAATATAGTCAGTTTATTGCCAGGAAGAACTGATAGGGCCTATTTCTTGCTCTTAAGCATAGACAGATAATTTGACAGACAGACAGATAGATAGCAAGCTAAATGAGTAGGGGGGTAGATAGATATATTGGATCAATAAGAGAAATAGACAACAGATATCATTGAATACTTTGCTGTATGATAAAGCTACATGGTTCTTGCCCAAAAAAAACATACTTCACTTAGCTGAAGAGTCTCCAATATGATTAATACACAAACAGTTATGAATAGTGTAAGCATGTATATAATTAAAGTTTTGCATTTTAGATTGCAGGAGCTGAGAGAAGAGAGATAAGCGTAAACTGAAGTCACTAGAGAAGACTTGCTAAATGAAATGTATTTAAATACTTCTCTGTCACAGAAACTGTCTTGATAGAACTTACATTGGAACTAGATTTAACCTAGAAACTATCCTTGGATCTAAAATGTCTCAATTTAGGAAGATCATTGATTAAAAAAAAAAATTAAAGATACAGGTAGTAGTTGATTCATCTTTGTGGTGTATAGTCATTAATGTCACATTCATTACTTTATATGTTCTAAATACACTTGAATATTTTTCATTATAGATTTTCTGAAACTTCTCCCTAGCTCATTTATTATGTAGAAATGTCTCTTTTTCTCCTTTTAAAATATGTTTATTTTGGCATCTCCTTTTCAGTAATGGGAATTTACATGGTTAGAGAAATACAGTGATTTTAGATTATGATGATTTTTTAAATAAATTGGAACAAGGGAGAATATAAAATATCTCATAAATTTTCAGAATCTCTTGTTTCGGGCATACCTGAGATGGATCATGTATTAGGTCTATGAAGAATCTTGTACTCTGCCACCTGTCCTGAAATTCAGTTCTAGTGTAGAGTCTGTGTATGAATGCTAATTTTGAATTAAAAGACATGTTATTTGTATGTACTTTTACATGTTCATCTTCCCTAACCCTCAACAAATGGGTACATATGTATAGAGCAGGTAAAGTATTTCTATCTTAGATAAAAGTCACCCAGAAGGAAATAACAGAGCTTGGATTTCAAACCAGCTTTCCCAGGGTTTGTGCTTTTTTCCCCACTCTGTCACAACTTGGGGATGGGGGGGGCTGCCGTTGAGTCGATTCTGACTCATAGCGACCCTGTAGGGTTTCCAAGGCTGTAAATCTTTACAGAAGCATACTGCCACATCTTTCTCCCGCAGAGCAGCTGGTGGGTTTGAACAGCTGACCTTTTGGTTAGCTGCCGAGTACTTTAACCACTGAGCCACCAGGGCGTGGTACAACTGGGTAGCTTTTTGAAGTTTAAACTAGTTCCAAATAAATACCAAATTAAGTAGGACAGCATTTTTAAATGTTAATTTTTTTTTGTATTTATCTCTGATCCCATTAAATGTTAGGGTATATATGTCATTTTTGCTTAGGTAAATATGCTGAAGATATATTTGGAGAATTATTCAATGAAGCACATAGTTTTTCCTTCAGAGTTAACTCACTGCAAGAACGTGTGGACCGTTTATCTGTCAGTGTTACACAGCTTGATCCAAAAGAAGAAGAATGTAAGTTTATTCTGTATTTTTAAAATATATATACTTTTTATTAGGTGAGATGAAAGATATCTTTAAGAATAGTATTAAACATGATTTTTATTGTGAATCTTTTTACCCATGACCTTTGGAGTACATATTGTAATAAATCAGTGAGTCATCTATAAATAGTATCAGTATGACTCATCTGGCTTTTCTTGTCTGCTATTTTTCTTTTTTACTTCTTCTTTTTGTACACTAAATAGCTCTTAATCTTTTGACATAAAGAAAACATTTTAGCCAGACTTTTTCCTCCATTCTCTTGTTCTTTTCTCCTTTATAATTTCTTTATATACTTTTGTCTTAGATATAAAAATGATCTGAAAATTACCTGAAATCCTTTGATTCTGTAAGAATGTAATTCCTCTTAATATGCTTTTGTATGTGTGTAAAATTGCTGAAGTCTGATTTAGTTATTTAATTGAGTGTTACTTCCTACTTGAAGTGAATGTTCCCAAAAAACCAAAATTCTCAATGTAGTACAGAAAAGTTCTATGCCAAGATATTAAGCCGGAGATAACAGGTTCAAAAGCCACACTCTAAAACAGTGGTAGAAACTTTAGTAGTGAAAGCACAGTTCATGTCTTGATAGAGTATATCAAATGCTGATGTTTCCCAAATGCCTCTTTTTGTTTTACACAGAGAAGTGGAACTACTAAGAACGTATTTTTCACTTATCTACCCTAGGGAATTGCTTAATGTGAATCTCTTACAACCCTCTCTTCAAAATATATTTTTGTTGAATAACATTTTTAGCATAAATGCAAGTTATGTAATAAATCTAAATTTGAACAATAAAACTATTAAAGAATATCACTGGAAAAAGCAAAAAGGAGAATGTAATGATGGATGTCTTAGGATTGAATCAAATTCATTTGACGTAATCTAATTTAATGTATAAGGAGAGGCAAATACTTTCCATGCTAAGTTTCTACTGTTCGCAAAGATAAGAAATCATAGCAGTGCGTATTTTTAAAACAGCTTTCAAACCCAAAACTCTGCTGCCGTCTAGTCGATTCCTACTCACAGTGACCATAAAGGACAGAGTAGAACTGCCCCGAATGCTTCAGAGAAGCAGACTGCCACATCTTTCTCCCATGGAGTGGCTGGTGGGTTCGAACTGCCAACCTTTTGGTTAGCAGGCCACGCTTAACCACCGCACCACCAGGGCTCCTTAAACAGCTTTATTGAGATAAAATTGATATACTGTTCAATTCACCCATTTGAAATTGAAGTGTATAATTCAATGGTTTTTAGTATATTCACGGTTTGCCACTATCACCACAATCAATTTTAGAACATTCTCATCACCCCAAAGAGAAACCTTGTACTCATTAGCGTCCTCTCCATTTTCCCTTACACCTATCCCCTGGCAATCACTAATCTACTTTCTTTCTCTGGATTTGCCTGTATGGACATTTCATATAAATGGAATCATATAATATGTGATCTTCTGTGACTATCTTCTTTCGCTTAGCATTATGTTTCAAAGTTCATCTATGTATCAGTACTTTATTCCTTGTTATATTCCGGTGTATATGTATATCACATCTGGTTTATCCATTAACTCGTTGATGGACATTTGGGTTTCCATTTTGTATCTATTATGAATCATGGTGCTATGAATACATGTATACAAGTTTTATGTGGACATATGTTTTCCTTTCACTTGGGTATATACCTAGGAGTAGAATTGCTGGGTCATATGGTTAACTCTATGTTTAACCTTTTGAGGAACTGCCAGACTGTTTCCAAAGCAGATGCAAAATTTTGTATTCCCACCAGATAGTTCCTATTTCTCCACATCCTCACCAACCCTTGTTTTTGTCTGTCTTTTTTTATTATAGCCATTCTAGTGAGTGTGAAGTGGTATCTCTTTGTGGTTTTGATTTGCATTTTCTTGATAACTAATGGTCTTCAACGTCTTTTCATGGGCTTATTGGCCATTTGTTTATCTTCTTTGGAGAAATGTCCATTCAGATCCTTTGCCCATTTTTAAATTGGGTTATTTGTCTTATTATTGAGTTGTAAGAGTTCTGTATATTTTTCTGGATCCAAGTCCCTTATCAGATGTATAATTTGCAAATATTTTCTCCCATTCTGTGGGTTGTTTTTCTTGGTAATATCCTTTGAAGCATAAAAGTTTTTAGTTTTTGTAAAATCCAATTTACTATTTTTATTTTGTCATTTGTGTTTTTGGTTTCATACCGAAGAAGACTTTGCCTAACCCAAAGTTACAAAGATTTATTCTCCTATATTTTCTCCTACGATGTTTATACTTTTAGCTCTTACATGTAAGTCTGTGATCCATTTTGAGTTAATTTTTGCATTTTGTGAGGAAGAGGTCCAACTTCATTTTTATGTGGACTTTCAGTTGCTATAGTACTATTTGTTGAATAGTACTACATGGCACCCTTTTAAAAAACCTTAGTACTTTTTTTAATAAATTTTTTTAAAATATTTTATTGAGTTTTTAACGAAAGTTTACACAGCAAGCTAGTTTCCCATTTAACAATTTCTATACATATTGTTCAGTGACATTGGCTAGGTTTTCCACATTGTGTCAATATTCTCATTATTTCCACTCTGATTGTTCCACTTCCATTAATCCAGCTTCCCTGTCCCCCCGTCCTTCTCATGTACTTTTTAAACTAATAAAATTTGACTTTAAAAGTCCTTAATTTTAAATACAAATTATTTTATTCCCTTCTGTTTTCCTTATTCCACTGATTTTAGTACATATCCAGACAGTTAATCTAACAAGGAAATAAAACAGTAAAAAATTTTTTTTAGAAACTATATGTAGTTTGCCACATATCAAATAATATCAAGTAAATAAATAGATATCAAAACATTCTGGAAGTAACTTTCCTTGTCTAACCCTTAAGCTCTCAACAAATTAAATTTGTTATATGGCCTAAATTTCTTTTGTTAAACCTGCTTATCCATCTAGCCATTCTTTGTCAGTCATCTCAAGATTTATGCTTTTTATCTCTGAAGACTCATTGTTGAAGAGAAAATATATAACCTCAAAACAGAATTAAAAATAAGTGTCTCATTTCCCATACTTCTCTTTAGTTATTGTGAGAAGAAACTTTTTTTCTTCTTTGGATTTTATTTTGGTGCTTTGAGCGTGTTACAAGTCATGCAGCAGTAGAGTTTCTGGGAATGCAGTCGTGGTATGGCCATTGATTGCAGAGCAGCCTCGTTGCTCCACCAATTCCATAGGTCCAAACTTTCATCTTGAATGAGCTTTTACTTGTGAGAATGATAAAGGTACTATTTTAGGAAGAAGAATAATTTAAGAATTGTTATGACTTCAAAACTGACCTTGCTATGGTATAAAATATTTATTTTTGTATACTTAAGGCCATATTAAATATGTAAGAAGTTGGCTAATTTTTTTGTATCAGGAAATCACTTTAAGAATTAAGAGTGCATTTTTTTGTACATTTCTTATTTTAACATGCTATACAGTCCAAAAGAAAATGAATAAATGGAGTTATTTTTAATCTTACATATATGATGAGACTTCAGTAGTTACTAGGGATACTAGTGTACAAGACAGTCTTGGTCTTCAAGAGCTTATAGTCTAGGTAGAAATCCTTATAGTACAAGATAAAAAGATAAGTGAAATAGTAATATAGATTACCAATACTTGAGAATATTTTCTTTACAGTAGTTTTTTGTAGTATATTATATAGGCATACTTACTGTATGTATATATAACAGAAATCAATAGTGTGTTTAGCCTAGAATGCTAATTCCTTCTGTGTTACTGGTATAAGAAAAAGAGAAGGAATAAAGTGAGATGGAAAAAAGGATTATAGAACAGAGGGAGAAAAGAATCTAAGTTGGTTGGGCCTGGGGATGTCAGGTAGAGAAAAGAAAAAGGTATATTTGGTGGGAAATGTAGATATGCTTCAGGTATCGTTTAGGGCCTTCAGAGCCTTAGAAATCGAAGGATGCATTAATATCAATGTGATTGGAAAAATTAGGCACAAAATGATATGGAATATGATAAAACATTTAAAGTATGGTTTCTGATTCATAAGCCACTAAGATCATAACCTCTTTATCCATGCTGATTTTTAAACATTTGTGTTTATGTTAAATCATTTTTATAAAAATAAAACAAATACATTTTTTATTTTTGTTTTAGTGTCTTTGCAAGATATAACAATGAGAAAAGCTTTCCGAAGTTCTACAGTTCAAGATCAGCAGCTTTTCGACCGCAAGACTTTGCCAATTCCATTACAGGAGACATATGATGTTTGTGAACAGCCTCCTCCTCTCAATATACTCACTCCTTATAGGTTAGTAGCTTAATGTCATTTATCTCAGTTCACGTAGGTAGTGGTCTACATTTAAACACTAAACCCCAAATGTTCTTTATTTCACTGAGCTTCTGGCCAACACAGAGAGCTCTCCCTAGCCACTGCATTTAGAAAACTTTCTATAAAAATGGCAGCCACCTGACCTCCTGTAACTTCCTTCAGGAAGGGGAGAGAGAATCACCATCAACATTTACAGTCCAAGGATGATTGCTATGAGGCTGGGGTCAGACATACCTCCTTTCTCCATCCTTTTTACCAATTCTGACACCAGCCATTCTTCCCACAGCACTTCTGTGCTGAATTCCATAATTCGTTGCTATGGCCACACAGAACTCACAGACCATACTCACATTTACATGGTTTATTAGGGGGAAAAAAAAAAGCAAAAAGCTCATTGCCGCTGAGTCAATTCTGACTCATAGGGACCCTATAGTACAGAGTATAAATGCCCCATAGGGTTTCCAAGGAGTGGCTGGTGGATTCAAACTGCCAACCTTTTGGTTAGCAGCCAAGCTCTTAACCTTTGCGCCACCAGGAAAGTAATAGGTTACAATTCAGGATACAGTTCTTTGATCAAGAGAGCCTCTTCTGAGCCATGCCTGCAAACAAGCCTCTCTCTGGCCCTCTACCCCTAAGCCCAGCCTCTGCCCTGCTCAGACGAGTGTTACAAAACTCTTTAGCTCCGCCAGTTAAGTGCCCAGAGGCACCCTACTCCACCAGTAAGCCTTGGCCTGAAGGCGCTCAGCTCTCTCACCGCTTGGGTTGACAAGCCTAGCTCCAAAGACAAGTGCATGGAGTTACCCCCACTCCACCAGGAAGCTTCCTGCCTGAAGGCAGTCAGCTCTCTCCATGGGTCAGCGAGCCTAGCTCTGCCAAGTGCCCAAAGGCACCCCACTTCACCAGCAAGCCTCCCACCCAAAGGTGCTCAGCTTTCTCGCTCTGTGGGCCAGGAAGCTCACTGCACCATCCCCTACCAGTCTTTTGGTTCTGCTGCCTCTGGTGCTGCCATTTCTCTGCCACTGCTTCTTGACATCTTGCCATCTCTGGTGTTACAGCTCTCTGTCTCCTGAATCTAGGGGGGATCTCAGCACAGGGATCCTGAGTCCAAAGGATGCACTCTGCTCCTGGCTCTTCTTTCTTGGTGGTAGTGAGACTCTCCCCCCCGCCCCCCACTCTGTGATTGGCTTTCTTTTAAGCCTGGCAGGATGGCAAAACTGACCAATCCCCTTGTTAGAGTTCCATACACCTTATTTGCATAGTCCCACCCCCACAAGTGTGCCGTGCGCTTTATTTCCATCATTAGCAAGCTATCCAATCCCCTTGGTGGGCCACAGGCTCCTCAGTTTCATAGCCCTACCCAGTCATTTGGTGGTAGTTAGACAAAGAGTATGGGTAGAAGGGCCATATTAAGTAATTCACTGCACCGCACCTTTGCTTTATTCATTACATGAGTTCAGCAAGGCTCTGGCATAGAACAGACAAGACCTGTTCAAGGGAGTTGTTTTAACAAGTTTTATTTTAAAAAACTACTGGCAAACTTATTAATATCAAGCAACAAGGAGTTGTTGTCTTTTTAACTTTTAATTAAATGGAAAATAGAAAAAATAAATAGCTCAAAATTCCACCACACTAACAAAATAAATATTATCATTTTTGCTTATTCTCATCTACTCTTGATCTATATGCATTAAATTTTTTTAATGAACATGTACAGTTACAAAAATTTTTTCTACCATTTAATGTAAAATTTGGAATTATTCAGGCTTTCTTCAAAGTGCTTTACATGATGTGTTAAATAGGTAATTTAAGATGCACAGTACATATCCTGAACAAAATAATATTCAAGCAGGTATTTGAAACTGTAAGTCAGCATGCAGGTCATTGGATATAACTGGTACTACTAGAATGCTGTTAAATGATATCTTCTCGATTTGGAAGGCTAATAAATAAGTTAGAATATTGGCAGAGAATCTAAAATGTTTCTATTCTAAATGATGTTATTTTCCTTTCAGGTTTCATCTTTCGCAGAACTATTTGTAATTATTGGACTTTCCAAAAAGACTTAATAGAAAATTTAGTATTCAGCAAGAGAAGTTAAGGATGAAAATCATCCAGCTATACTTTAAATTATTAATGCCAGCTCTCAAAAGTGTCTGGCTTTCCATTTTCCTAAGTTTTCTGTCTGATTTGTGAGAAATTTTTTATTAGTGTAGTGTTCTAATTTATTTTGGTAGTATTTTTATACATGCTGTATTTTATTAACGTAAGAAAAATTTTTTCAGTAAAACTGCTATTTTGATTGCCTGTCTAAGTCTTACTGTTATGTTTTAATTGGTGTTTTATATTTCAGAGATGATGGTAAAGAAGGTTTGAAGTTTTATACCAATCCTTCATATTTCTTTGATCTATGGAAAGAAAAAATGTTGCAAGATACAGAGGATAAGAGGAAGGAAAAAAGGAAACAGAAGGTAACACAAGAGATTCAAAAAATTGAAGTTATTTTTGGTGTATTTATGTTTTGCTGCATTATGGAACCTTAATCCTGTACTTTGATGGTTTTATTTCATTGAGTCAGTTTAGTCAAATACTAAAGTCTTTATAACCACACAGAAAGATCACAATCTAATGGGGAGCCAGATGAGCTATAAGATAATTATAATGTGGTACAATAAGAGCCATAACAGATATACCCATGGAGAGTTTTGGCACACAAAATAGTAGCTGCTTTAGCCAGGGGACAGGGTTGGTGAACACTTCCAACAAGGCTTATAATGAATCTTGAGGAACAAATAGGAATTAAGTGGACCAGGGAAGAGAAGGGCATTCAGTAAAAGAACAAAGGAAAATTGTGCAGATATTGGTAAAGTAGGTTAAGCCAATATTTTCTTACCACAGAACATACCCTAAAGGTTTGGAGAGGTTATTTTATTCTCACTAAATTCCTGTTATCTGTCTGTTGTGTTGTAATTTTCTGCTTTCTAATAAAATTAGCTTGCATCTGCTTTATTCCATGTTAATGAGAACTGAAAATATAGAAGGGAAGCAAAGTTGGATTTAGGCAAAATTATGGAGGCAAACTGTGTCTTCATTATCCCTTTGTTTCTCCTTTAGCTGTCCCCACTTTCCCTCTTGTTTCCCATAATGCCCTCCTGTTATTATATTCTGTGCTAGACAGGATCCAGTGTTATTGCCAGTTTTTTAAAAAATGACTGGCAGGCCAGATTACTCTGGTAGGCAGTGTTGTGTTTGACAAACATGGTGGTTTTAAAATTTTTGAACTGGAATGCCTCAGATGGGCGTACCTGTCTAGTTCACTGCAGGTTCCATCTTATACCTGACTGGCTTCATTGATGTATGGTATCTTCTCGGCCCCTTTGGGCATTTGAATTTGTTACACCTCCTCTAGACCTTTCTATACTTTCTCTCCCAATAAGAATCACTTTTTGTTGTTTTTTAAAGACCTTGTTTTCTGTTGAGTGACACAATTATTATGGGTTAATTGGATAATGATTTTTTCCAATGTCTTTGGTAGCTAATTGATCACTTCCTAGATCACATAACCTTAGTAAATATTCAAGTTTTGGTTAGAGGTTAACAGTGCTATTAATGGTAGAAATTTTCTTCATCACAAAAGACTACTAGATATAGACCAAAATTGGTGAATATTTTTTCATCTGGAAGGACTTTTTGACTTCAGATTTTGCTGTTTAGGCATACTGTTTGCATTTGGTACATCAGCTTGAATTAGGGGTTAAAAAAATGGCAAGACATTGGAGTTACAGACTAGCTAAGATTTAACTCTGAATCTACCAATGAACTGTGTGTTAATTTTACTATATTATGGTGACATTGTCTTTTTTAATATTGATGTTAGAATTTTGATTATTATAAACTTAGCACTTCAGCTTGGCTTTGTTTCAATACATCTGTTATAGCAGAAAAATCTAGATCGTCCTCATGAACCAGAAAAAGTGCCGAGAGCACCTCATGACAGGCGGAGAGAATGGCAGAAGCTGGCCCAAGGTCCAGAGCTGGCTGAAGACGATGCTAATCTCTTACATAAGCATATTGAAGTTGCTAATGGCCCAGCTTCTCATTTTGAAACAAGGTTTCTTTTCTTTTTTTTTTTTTTAAATTAATGATAAAACGTTGACTTTATTTTTAATATCTGTTATAAGTATAGAGATGATTTTGAAACCCTGACCACTGTGAGCCTACCAAAGTCTGACTTTGGACAGGTCATTTTCTTACCTGGACCTTAGTTTTGTCATCTGTTGAAAGAGTGGGTTGGAATAGATGATCTTTAAGATTGTTTTTAGCTTTTATATGAAGTCTTAATTTCCTCTTGGTATTTCAGGCAGAGTATGCTAGAATTTCATAAGAGAAGAATGGGGTATGGAAATTTTTTTAAGTACTATTGATTCACTGCACGTAAAATAGAAGTTGAGAAGGGGCTATATTTTGTTTCTTTTTCTTTCCCCTGACTTCCTTTCTGTGTCACATTCCCTACCTCAGATGCATCAGGGCTTTCAAACAAACAAAAATTCTCATCCCCTTTTGCAGAAATGTAGAATAGACCCTTTTCCTTTCTTGGTAACTAGGAGTTCTATCTAAGTAACATGCTATCATTCAAAGCACAAACCGGCATCTTTCTGAGAATAAATGTGTGTATAGTTATATTGATTTTTGAATGGAAAAGAGCTTAAGGTTTTCTTTTGAATAACGTATGTAAACTATTAGGCCATAAGTATGAAATAAAGCACTTGGCTGCTAACTGAAAGGTCATTGGTTCAAACCCACCAGCTACACCGTGGGAGAAAGTTGTGGCAGTCTGCTTCCGTAAAGATTTATAGCTTTGGAAACCCTATAGGGCAGTTCTGCTCCGTCCTCTAGAGTTGCTAGGAGTTGGAATCAACTCAGTGGCAATGGGTTTGGTTTTTTGGTTTTATTTTAGGAAAAAATTACACATGAGGGATACTATTTATGTACATTACTGAAAGAGAAGACTGAAAGAATTGAATTTTTTTTTTAAATTTGTAATCTATGGACAAACATCTTATTTCTACTTCTGTTAAGTAATTAAAGTTTTTCTCTGACCTAGTAGTCTAAATACAATTGTTTTTAACTTGCTCTGTGCAATCTGTTAAATTCAACTTACACCCCAGAATGTACTACAATCAATAAGCACTTACAAATCTTCATATACTCAAGGTATCTAAAGTTTTGCTTATATCTGATCGTAAGTCACATGTTGCTATGTTACTCAGTTATTTCCTGAGTACCCTAGCATCTTTGAAAATACCAAAAAGACAAAAACAATATAGCTAGCCATCTCTGTGGTGCTAGTATCAGGGAAGACTTTTTCCCTGAGTACAAGACTTTTGGAAGTTTTTCAGGTTTAAGAATGCAGCAAGATACCCTAGTGTAGTGGTAGAAGATTCCAATTTTTATATTCCCCAGCTTTCTGTTATTAGTATCTTCTCGTAAAGAAAAAAATGAAATAGAGACAAATAGCTTTGAACATAGTTGGTTAAAAATTAATTTTCTTTTCTTTTTTATAAGATTATATGTGTAGTATTTTCCTTGTTATGAGTTTAGTTAGTACTCCATTATAAAATAATAAAATAATGATTATCTTAGTAAATTAAATTAGTAAGGAAAGGTTACACTATAAGCAGCATTCTGTTTCAAGAGCAGAATTTATATAATATTTTTCTGAAAGAAATTTCTTGAAAGTGGTTAAAATATTGGCATTCAAAGGATGACCCTTAAATATCTCATACAGAACACTTCATTTCACCAGTAAGTCAAGAAAAATGCACTGATTTCGTGTATGTTTTTTAGACCTCAGACATATGTGGATCATATGGATGGATCTTATTCACTTTCTGCCTTGCCATTTAGTCAGATGAGTGAACTTCTGACTAGAGCTGAGGAGAGAGTCTTAGTGAGACCACACGAACCACCTCCACCTCCACCAGTGCACGGAGCAGGAGATGCGAAACCCATACCCACCTGTATCAGGTATGTTGAGACAAGCACATGATGTTTTCTCTCAGGAATCAGCAACCTTTTTCTTTAAAGGACCAGATAGTAAATATTTTAGAATTTGTGGGCCGTATAATTTCTGTCTCAACTACTCAAATTCTGCTGTTGTTACATGAAAGTAGCCATAAACTATGCAGAAACAAATGAACCTGACTGTGTTTGAGAAAAACTTTACAAAAGCAGGGAGTGGGTCAGATTTGGCCTGTAGGCGATAATTTGCCAGACTGTAGTAAGAGCTGACATATTCTCCTGAGAAAATTCAGCTAATAAGAATTTACTTTAAAGATTAAATTGTGTTTCATTTTGTTATAGCTTTGGTATCAAGCACATGATGTGTAGTATAGTATAGTAATCAGATTATGGAGAAATTTTTGGAATGTGGTAAAAAGGATAGATCTAAGGTGCTAAGAAACAAAAACCAAAGATGTGGCTGTGAATGCTAATTTGATGTTAGGGGAAGTACTCTAAAAATTTGAGATAGAATAGACAGTGCTTCTAATAATTTTTTGGTAAGGATATTTTACAGTTTAATTTTGTCAGTTAACCAAATTATAAATTTTGTAATAGAGAACTTTTAGAGAAATTTTTCTAATAGAGAAATAGAGATCAGCTTTATAATTTTTAGTTAAAAAAATTAACCTTCTGTCACTGACTCATTTGATGTTCCTCACTCAGGAGGGAAGAGGACCATAAATTTCCTTTTGTGGTTTTTAATTCATTGTTATTGATTTAACTGAAATGACTTAATAGTTTCAATATAAATACAGCATTGTATTGGCCACAAGTACTGCTACAAATATTATAACGTGATAAATGGTGAGTCGTTACAGAAACTCGTATCACAGTGTAGAATTGAGTTTTTTATTTATCATTTTAAGCATACAGTACTTGAGCCATATATGACAGTTGGATGAGAGGATGAGACCGGTTAGAATATTACAAACAAAAGCACCACCTCTTAATTTTCTTGTTGGTATAATTTTAGTTCTGAATTCATTTTAAATACTGCTGAAGAATTTAAAATTTCTGTAGGAACTTATTAATGCATCTACTTTGATATAGTTACTGATAGTCATTTATATTTGTGCAGTTAGGTTTTCTCTAGGTTCTTCTCTTAATAACTTGCTAGGATCTCTTTGTCATTTCAGTTCTGCTACAGGTTTGATAGAAAATCGTCCTCAGTCACCAGCTACAGGCAGAACACCTGTGTTTGTGAGCCCCACCCCCCCACCTCCTCCACCACCTCTTCCATCTGCCTTGTCAACTTCTTCATTAAGAGCTTCGATGACTTCAACTCCTCCCCCACCAGTACCTCCCCCACCTCCACCTCCAAGCACTGCTTTGCAAGCTCCAGCAGTACCACCACCGCCAGCTCCTCTTCAGATTGCCCCTGGAGTTCTTCACCCAGCTCCTCCTCCAGTTGCACCTCCTTTAGTGCAGCCCTCTCCTCCAGTAGCTAGAGCTGCCCCAGTATGTGAGACTGTACCAGTTCATCCACTCCCACAAGGTGAAGTTCAGGGGCTGCCTCCTCCCCCACCACCGCCTCCTCTGCCTCCTCCTGGCGTTCGACCATCATCACCTGTCACAGTTGCAGCTCTTGCTCATCCTCCCTCTGGGCTACATCCAACTCCACCTACTGCTCCAGGTCCCCATGTTCCATTAATGCCTCCATCTCCTCCATCACAAGTTATACCTGCTTCTGAGCCAAAGCGTCATCCATCAACCCTACCTGTAATCAGTGATGCCAGGAGTGTACTTCTGGAAGCAATACGAAAAGGTAATTTTCTCAGAGCTGTTAATAACATTACTGTAGTAGCATTAGAAATATTCTAAATATTTGAGACAATATTGTATTCCCCATTTGTAAAATTTTAGATCATTATGCTTTTGCACAATTAGACTTTCAAAAGCAAAACTATGTCCAGTTTGTATTTTAAAATCATTTTTAGGAAAATATATCACATTTAATCACTTTATTTTCATACTTAATTAGGGATTCTTAAAATGTTTCTCGAGTAAATGAGAAACTGAAAATACCAGGCTTAAATGTTATAGAATATTTAGTTAAAATCCTTTATATTATTTCTGATAGGTATATTAACTCCTTTAAAATGGTGTTTTCTTCAGTATTAAGGTTGTTCATTTGGTGTATCATTGACACTGGTGCTCTACCAGATGGCCTTTAAAGGACTTAAGTTCCTCCCTTAGTAACAAAAGAAAGACTTCTCATATTCGTTCATTGATTCCCTTAGCATTTCTAAATAACTACTGTATGCCAGGCAGTAAAGACTATCGAATGAATAATAGTTTCTTTCCTTGAAGTACTGAAGGGAATAAAGCTGCAGAAAATGTACTCCAACAGTTTTTAATTTATTTGACTATAGAGGTAATAGAAGAACTGTATCACCTGGTTAAGTTTTTAGGCGGTGGTAAACAGGGAGGTACAGTAGGCCATAATAGATAAATAAACTGTAGATATTCACTGAAATATCTGATATCTCACGAGCTAATATCACAGAGGATAAGATAATGAAAGAGTTGATGCCTCTCTAAATGATTCCTTCTAATTCTTTCTAATAGATCCGGCTTTATATTTTACTTTTAGTATTTCTTATGTGTAATTTTATTCCAGATGATTAATAGTGTCTAGCATCTAGTATTTTGGTTTAAAATACTTAATGGTTTGGATTTATTATTATCAGGTATTCAGCTACGCAAAGTAGAAGAACAGCGTGAACAGGAAGCTAAACATGAACGCATTGAAAATGATGTTGCCACCATCTTGTCTCGCCGTATTGCTGTGGAATATAGTGATTCAGAAGATGATTCAGAATTTGATGAAGTAGATTGGTTGGAGTAAGAAAAATGCATCGATAAATATTACAAAACTGAATGCAAATGTCCTTTGTGGTGCTTGTTCTTTGAAAATGTTCGGTCATTCTAGTGTTCTGGTTTCTTTTCCTTGTTAAATAACCCTTTCCTCCATGATCTTTGATTTCTAAGAAAAAAATTTCAACTAAATGTTTTATAGTGGCTACTAAATGTTTTATAGTGGCTTATCATATTTTTTCCCCAGAAAAGACATAATTCGATCAAATAAACCACTAAGTATTAAGCATGGATAGCTGTTGTTAGAGTAGCAGATTCAGTTTTTCTGTATATATTAATTGTGCACTTTGTGAATTTTAATTTAAAGAAAGCAACTGAGATTGAATCTTGAGGGCAGCTGCATCTATTAATGAGCCTTATTACATTGCCATATGTTTTACAAGAAGAAACACTGCCTTGGTTTTATGAGTACATTCAGAAAGTACATTTAGCTTGTAGTGTTGAATTCTCTTAAAGGAATGCTTGAATTCTTGTTTAATTATTGTTTTATTGTTTTTAAATACTTATTTGAATGTTTAGCAGTGCCCCTTTCCCACTTATATATTGTGTGGTACAATTTTGCTTGCCTGTAAGAGTTTAAAATTTTTCCATGTGAAATACTCTGACTTAAACATACATGTAACTTCCATAACTGTTAAGAATAACAGTCTGATTTAATAAATGGTTCATTTTAAAGGTTCATGGGCATTTCTCTTTCAATAAAATTTTCTGATAATTTATCAAATACTATAAAGTAGGCTCTAAATATATAGCTAGTAAACTAAAATTTAAAAAAAAAACTTAAGCTATATAATTCTCTCTTATTTATACAGATTCATATTGTCTAGTATGTAAGGTCGCTTTTATATCATTTTTTTCCTAAGCTTACAAAATCAATATATCTCAACTCCTTCTGCTCTTAAATTAAAATCTCAACCTGCCATCTAATTTCAGTACACCTTGACTTCAGTGTATCAACGGTTTTCTTGAAGTTATATTTCGCCATGAGAAAATGAGTTGTTAGTATTTCCAGAGTCCAGATGGGAGGAGAGAAAAGCACCATTCATATCAGATTACTTAGTCTGAAGAGAAGACTATATGAGATTTTGGTAGCTTGATTGCAGAAGCGAATGCAATGTTCATCCTTCCCTGTGTCTACCCCTTTTGTAATGCAGTTTTTAGCTGTTCCCATCAAGAGATGGGTTTTATCCTATGTCCTTGAATCTGGGTGTCCCTGAGATTTGTTTTGGCCAATAGCATGGGGCAAAAGTGAGCTGTGCCAGTTCTAAGTCAAGGTTTCAAGCAACCTTGCAAACTCCAGCTTCCTCCTTCTCTCTTGGAACTGCCTCTGCCATGGGCATAAGCTTGGGCTAGTCTGCTGGAAGAGCGGAAACCACATAGGGTAGAGCTATTCTAGTTGAGGCTATCTTTGATTAGTCTAGCCCAGCCGAATCCAGAAGAACTGCTCACTGACCCATAAACTCATAAGCAAAATTAAATTGTCTTACACCTAAGGTGGAGCCCTGGTGGCACAGTGGTTAAGAGCTCAGCTGCTAACCAAAAGGTCAGCAGTTCGAATCCACCAGCCACTCCTTAGAAACCCTATGGGGCAGTTCTAGTCTATCCTATAGGGTTACTATGAGTTGGAATTGACTTGACGGCAGCGGGTTTGGTTTTTTGTGGGGGTTTTTTGGTAAGCCTAAGATTATTTTTTTTAATATACTTTTTATGCCTAAATTTTGAGATACATTATTTCACACAGCGTTGTTGTGACAATAAACAGCTGATACATGAGGTCACTTGGTAACTTGATAATTTGGAGATTTAGGCAGATAATTAATGACCTGTAGTGTTTGTAGAACAGAAACAATGAACAAGTTCAATTGTAGCAGTTCAGTTTGGACATAAAACACATTTTCTAATGCTCTTTTGGGTAGTTTTACCGAGAGGAAGACTTCAGATAGCCATCTTGACCCCATCTTTTTAAAAAACCACCTCCCTAAATGGAAACAAGCATAAAATAATTTAAAGCTCCTAAACAGTTCAAGAAATTCCTTTTAGAATCCATGATCTCTGTAATATCTACTTAGTAAAAAAAAAAAAAAAAAAAGGAATAGAAATGCAATGCAAGATATAAATTATGCAATATCATGATTTAAAGATGGCTTTGCTACATTGAACTAATGAAAATAGAATATCAAATTATGGTATTTCTAAGTTGTGTCATATAACTGTACCAAACCCACTGCTGTCGAGTCAATTCCAACTCTTAGCAATCCTACAGGACAGAGTAGAACTGTCCCATGGGGTTTCCAAGGCTGTAAATCTTTTTTTTTTTTTTAATTGTACTTCAGGTGAAGGCTTACAGAACAAATAGTTTCTCATGAAACAGTAGTACACATAGATTGTTTTATGACATAGGTTAACAACCCCACAACATGTCAACCCTATCCCTTCTCGACCTTTTTTTTTTTTTCTTTTTTGGTGACAATATACATAGCCAAAGATACACCATTTCAAAGATTTCTACATACACAGTTCAGTGACATTGACTGCGCTCTTCCAATTGTGCTGCTATTCTCACTTTAGATGAAGGCTTACAGAACAAAATAGTTTCTCATTTAACAGTTAGTACACATGTTGCCCTATGACAATGGTTAACAACCTCACAACACATCAACACTATCCTTACTCAACCTGGGGTTCCCTATCACCAGCTTTCCTGTCCCCTTCTGCCTTCTGGCCCTTGTCCCTGAACTGCTGTCCAAGGCTGTAAATCTTTACAGCAGTAGACTGCCACATCTTTCTCACACGGAGCGGCTGTTGGGTTCGAACTGCTGACCTTTTGATTAGCAGCCAAGCAGTTTAACCACCACACCACCAGAGCTCCTTTATATAACTCTAATTAATAGAAATCATCTTAATGAAGCCAAATGGAATGCATAGGACCCTTGTAATACAAAGAATAAGCCTTTTCCTCCCTTTATTCACTGCTGTACTAAGAACAAATTTATGTTCTCCATGACTCGTCTGTAGAATGCATCAGTAATCTCTTGCTTTTCAAGCCTGACAACCAGCCTCTGAATAAAGAATGAATACCAGCCTTGAATGAACATTTCAGAGACTTTTTTTTTTAAAAGACTAGTTATCAGTACCTTTTCTCATTATTGTAAGGCCAGCTGCTCTGCCTTTTTTTCCCCTCAGAAAAAAAATTTTCTAAGCACAACTGAGCATGTATTGAAGTCATCCTTCTCAAGATATTTATAGTATCTTCTCTTTTCTGTAATAGATAAATTAGTTTAATGGTAATAATTTTGAATATTTTTATAGTATCTATATAAATGTGTTCCTTGTGTATGTGTGTGTTGTACTCAAAGACTTTCTGATAAATTTCTTATTTAGGGACCTATCCTGCCTTTAGGCTATCTTTTTTAATACTGCTGCTTTTGATATAGGATACTGATGTCTCCAGAAGTAATAAAATTTCCCATTCACCTTTCTGGCCTGCACACAATATAAGAGACGCAAGAGCCGTCAAATCACAGTAGTTGTTGTAACAGTTTCCAATATTACTTAAAGGGTCTGTTTTATTCTTATCTATGAGATTCATGAAATGTTACACTTTTAATTTAAAGAAAGTTTATATGAACTATTTATCTAGACCATTTTAGATAAAGGAGCACTTATCCTTAGTGGTTTATTTTTATTATTTATTTATTTGTTAATTTATTTTGATGCCTGCAGAGTTTTGAGACCACTGGGTATTGGGGCCACAGCAGTGAATAGACAGAGCCCTACTTTCTGAGCATACAGATAAATTAACAAAGAACAATGAATGTTATGTTAGGGAAACTCAGCACAGAGACCAAACCTAGTCTGGGGAGCCAGGAAAGACCTCCAAAAAGAAATGGCATTTCAGTGGAGACCTAAGGTTTGAGGTGGACCTAAGCAGACAAATTGAAAGTGAGGGTAGACAATCTCCCAGGCAAGGGGAACAGGTGTGCTTGGATATGAGCTATGAGAGAGATGCTTTGAAGGAATTGAAATATCATTGGTACAAAGTATGCAAGTAGTGGAGTGGCTAGAAATAGAAAAGTAGACAGGAGCAAATTATGAGAAAATCTTAGGAACCATATTAAGAAGTTTGTATTTTATCACATAAAATACAATAAAATTGAGAAAATGGCGTAATCATCAATATCATTTTGGAAAGCTAACTGTGACTGCAAGAGGGTAAATGAATTAGAAGTAAGATTGGAGGTCGGCAGACCAGTCAAGTTTTTATAGCAGGTGACAGATGATAGTAAGAAATGGTGGTGGCAGAGGAGATAGATTCAAGAGATATTTAGGATGTGGAATACACTGGACTTAGTGATTAGAGAGGAAGGAGTTGAGGATGACTCCCAGAATCCTGGTTTACTAATACAGTCACGTGTTGCTTAACATCCACGATTTGTTCTATGAAATACGATGTTACATGATTTGGACATTGTGCGAACACCATATTATAGACTTAGCAAAGCTATATGGGATACCTTTTGTTTCACTTCCAAATCGATACTTCTTTGCCACTTGCACTGGTTTTGCTGCCTTTGGGAGTCATGATGCACTTTACAGTCATATTTTTTAAAGAAAGTTAATCAGATAACGCTGTAACACTGAAGAGACACGTGATACACAAGATTGGATGCTGCTGCCTACGAGTCAAAGCATACACTTATACGGTAAACTTTTTATTTGTAAGTAGGGAACGTGTACATTAAAATAACAATAGAAAGTACAGTACATACATAAGCCAGTAACAGGAGTTTATTATGACTATCAAGACAAATGTATTATAGGTTATATATGTACCGTACCATTATACTCCTGGCAGTGCAATCGCTTTATATTCCAGAGACATGAGATACGCATGTTGCGTGTGGGAAGCTGTTGGGTTCACTACGTTATGTCTATTACATCCCATTCTCCAATTGGGATTTCAGAACTCCATCACATGCATACTTTGTTTTGTTGCTCCTTTGCTTTATTGTGCTTCACAGGTCTGCATTTTTTTACAAATTGAAGGTTTGTGGCAATCCTGCGTCAAGCAAGTCTGTCGGCACCAGTTTTCCAAAGCATGTTCTTACTTCATGTCTCTGTCATATTTTGGTAATTCCCACAATATTTCAAACTTTTTCATTATTATATCTGTTCTGGTGATCTGTGATAGTGATCTTTGATGTTACTATTGCGATTGTTTTGGGGCATCAAAACCACGCCCATGTAAGACAGCAAACTTAATCGGTAAATGTTGTGTGTGTTCTGACTGCTGCACCAACCGGTCGTTCCCCTGTCTCCCTCTGCTTGGGCTTCCCTATTCCCTGAGACACGACTGGAATTAGGCCAATTAATAACCCTACAATGGCCTCTTTAAGTGTTCTAATGAAAGTAAGAGTCACACATCTCTCATCTTAAATCAAAAGCTAGAAATGATTAAGCTTAGTGAGAAAGGCATGTGGAAAGCCAAGAGAGGCCAAAAGCTAGGCCTCTTGCGCCAAACAGTAAGCCAAGTTGTGAACGCAAAGGAAAAGTTCTTGAAGGAAATTAAAAGTGCTACTGCAGTGAACGCATGAATGATAAGAAAGCGGAACAGCCTTATTGCTGATATGGAGGGGGTTTTAGTGATCCGGATAGAAGATGAAGCCAGCCTCAACATTC